CCTGTGTGTGTGTGTGGTTTTTATCAGCAGCTGAAATGAATAATGTATTTGCTGCAACAAAGCAAGAGTAGAATGGCATCATGGCTAGTCATCTGTAGAGCATCATTGACAAAAACCCATGGGATGAAGGTACCTTATCCTCATTACTATGTCACTTTCATCTCCCTTTTGAGTAGTTTTCCACCGTCAACATCAAAAGGATCTGTCTTATTGATGGATCTGGCCCACTCTATTCTACTCTGCTTTACTGAAGGCTAATCACTCATTCATGAGAAACAAAATATGATTGCACAAATACAAGTGATGTGACAACTTCCACCCTAGTTTCAATGCCAATCCTGGGCTTGTTGATACAGCAGAGGTTGTAGAATTGTCCAAGTAATCTTCATATGTATACACACACACACACACATGTATTGTTCACTTTTATTATAATCACCTTCTGTGACTACACTTTGTATCATTCTGTGGCTTGGACTTCATTTGGAAAAGACAGAGGTCATACCATCCACAGGTTCATCATCAGTATAATATTTTTGACAACCTTGTATTAGACATAACAATGAGCCTGTGTGCCACATCTTATGCATGCTGGGTTGACATGGCTTGAGACCATGGAGCAAAATGGCACAACCCTGAATCCCTTGCTTTGGCCCCCTAAGAGTATCTATATATATATAGACATATATAAATGTTCTATTTTTAAAATAGGGAATAAAGGCATTCAATCTAGCTGGAGCTGGGAGTGTAGATGATGAATATGTGGTAAGGAATGGTGGTTTTGGGGTTTTCATTTTTTTTTTTCATTTTCTTTTTCCATTTTCTTTTTGAAGGAAATGATATGAAAATTGCATGATCTGTGTCCAGTGGGGTCCTCTCTTCACTAAATCAACATTCTTATAGTTCATTTAAAATCAATGGTATGAATTATAGGAAGTATAAATAAAAATAAAAATAAACCCAAACTGAATACATTAGAATGTAGGAAAACAGACAGAAGAGTCAGAAGCATTTTTCCAATGGTGGGAGCAGAAAGCTCCCTTAGGCAGCAAGGAAAGAAATGTACCAGAGAGAGAGAGAGCCGGCCTTGAATCACAATTACATCTGGTGACTACGCAAAGGTGCAAAGTAAATAAAATAAATAAAGCATCAAATACATGAAGGAGTATGTAACAACAACATGGTGATACCTGTTATTTATCTTACACAGTAGTCACAATAATTTAATTGCTTTGATTAGTTCAATTCATGTATTAGTGGCATTTGGGTCAATGTAAGCCCTAAAACAGAATGGCATCCACATGGCACTATTTTGCAAGAATTAACATCCAGTGACACAACTCAATAAATATATATATATATATATATATATATAAATGTATGTGTGTGTGTTTCCTCTTTCCTTTAACTAGTTTGGTGGAACATTCACTGCAATTGAAAACCTTCCAAATATGTTTTTTTAGGAGGCAAGTCTGTTTGGACCCATGTGTCAGGCAAACTTACCCTGAAAACACAAAAAGGTAGAGACTATTCCACTAAATCTAGTGCCATCATATACTAATATATACACACAATTTATTGATTTGTATGTTATGTTGTTTTTGGGAGAAGCGTTGTGTGGCAGATACATACTGAGACATGGGGGACATAGAGTTTCCTCACATAATCTGAATCTCATGTATGAGGTGGGTCATGTGAGGAAAATCATGCCGCTGGAGGAGAGGGAGGAGATGACCAAAGCCCACAAGTTGACAAACTTATCTTTCTCATACTCTACTTGTAATGGTGAGCCAGGAGGTTAGCCAGCTAGGGGCTCATTATTTGTGCTAGAGAGCCCTTGCTGGGATCCTCCTAACAGGGTTAGATTCTCTTTAAAAGTAGGAAAAAGAAGAAATAAGAAATAAGAAAATGACTAGACATGATGTCAAAATAAGGAAAAAGGCAAACAGCATCCTGTTGTTATTATGTGGAAAGGACCTAATTCTTGCAAGAATAAAAAAGAAGGTCGTAGAGATGCAGAGAAAGAAATAATGACTCACTTTACTTTTTATCTCCTTTCTCCTTTCTTGCTTTTTATTATATTTGATTTTGATTGAGGAAAGGTGAGATAAGATGGGGCAAATTGGATCCATTTCTAAAAGAGCCCCCCCCCTCTTGCTGAGCTAGCCCTCCTTACTCTTAATCATAATACTCACATGCTCAATGCTTGCTGGCTTGGATGGTTTCACTCCCCTTATTGTGTTCACACTTATTAACACAAAGCAAGATTGCTGCCAGCATGGAGGCTCTGTGCCAACTGGGTGTCATGAGGAAGAATATATATGTATGTACAAGCCTTTGGCTATAGGCAAAGTAAGTTAAGCCAGACAATGGGTGTGGGCAATCCCAACTGCCAGCATATTGCCAACTAATTAGGCTCCTTTTGAAATGGTATCAGAGCCTCTTGCAAAACAGATATGCATTGTTTGGTTTCACATTTATATCTGCTGATGGTTATCATCAGAGATTGGGCAGAAATCCAGCCACCAGATGTTGTTGGAATGCTGGAATGAAGGCAAAAAAATGTGCTATTCAGATGAGGTCAAGCAGGGGAGAGAATTGGTATCCTGGAGGATTCATCTCCAGGGCTCAAGGCAATGAATCTGGCGGAGTTTAATGACAACAGGTTCTTCTTCTCCTTCACCTTGACCACCCACAAAAAAAACACCTTCTTACTCATCTGCTTTGTCCATTGTGGCTTTGGAACATCTTTCAAGCCTGTCAAATAACTAATTCAATCTCCCCCATTCCATTGTTACACTTCATCTACATTATCTAAAAGGTAGTAATAAAATTTCTATGGGCTTAGTAGTGGCTAATGGAGTGGACATTCTAACCTGGAAAAACCCTACAAATGATACTCCAGGCTTTATGTGTGTGAATCTCTGTATGCAAATTGACTAACCTTGTTCTTATTAAGAATAATAAACTTAAATGAGCAGCATGTGAGATCCAGCACAAATCCAAGTCAGAGTTTTGAGGATATGCTTACAGATCCTTTAGTGTTGTGCTGTGTAGAGCTAGAGGGCCCTCAAAGTGGGCTGGAGTCAATCACTTCCCAAATCCTGTTTGGCTTCTCCTGTGATTTGAATCCTCTGTGATGAAATCCAGATTCATTTGCAACAGAATCCAATGCTGTATCCTCGCATTGCTGCCATTTCTGTCTTTTCTTGCCACAATCCCATTTGTTTATGTCTAAACCTTATTCTTCTTCATCTTTAATTATTTTTCTTTTCTTTTCTTAGAACACACAGTACATGCCCAGGGGAGAGCCTCCTGGTGGGGCCTTTAGGACATGAATTCTGGTTGTCAGAGTGAAGGAGAAAGAAGTATGAATTTGTTAATCAAGGCTCACATTCCCATGACTTAGTAGAAATGGGTGCCCACCCCCTTGTTTTTTTTCCTTTATCATAGAACCAATATGTCTTCTCCATGTCACCACAGATATTGCTTCTTCTATGCCATACAAGTGTCATGCATTGCCTTCTTGAGCCAAGAGGCTTCCATGCCCCACAGCCATGCAGCTGCCTATGTTAATTCTATCCTCACCAGTTTCTCACTACAGTCAAGCAGCAATTACCAGTGCAACTTCAGGAGATTATATATATATATATATATATATACACACATTCAGTTGTGTACAATGCACTGGCATTCAAGTCAATCTAACATTGCATGTACAACCTGAAAGTTATTTGAATAATTATTATTTTCTAATTGGCTATTATGTCAGTGTGGCAATCTCTAATCTGCCTTGACATGAATCTGCATGATGTGATCATGCAACCTCTTGGAAGAATGCACACCAAGAGCCAAGAGCCAACAGGATTGAAACCCTGGTTTGAATTAGTAATATTGGAGTTTACTTGCAGGGGGCAAGTTAGTTAGAGGTGGAATGGCTTATCATTTAGTTCCTAGGAACGAATTTGTGAATAGAGTTAGTTAATTGGGGACTAGCTAAGTAAAGACCCCATGAGGAATAATCCCAATTTGCATTGGCGGCGCGTTGATTATAAGGCTGAAAATAAGGTTGCACTGTGACCTTTTGCTGTACTCGACCACCACTTCAAATCATGATGTGAGACTCTTTTCTTAGCAATGAGGCCGTTTGGAGCTGCGCAGCTGGCTTGTGGGAATGAGTCAATCCACAATGCCAGTGCCAGTGGGCCACAAAGCCCCCTCCAGAAAACCAACAACAAGCTGGAAGTAGTTCGGTTACTCAGGTTTCGGAGGGCATGAATCCAGTAGGCATCTGAAGGGATAATCCGTGCGGCCAGTTTAGCAGACCCACCTACCAAGTCTGCCAACTTGCGCAGTCATGCTCTGAAGAGTATGATTTCACATCCACAGAGAATCAAACTGATGGAACTTGTGTACAATATTGAGTATGTTTATGCGTCAAGATGCAGCATACTCACTTAAAGCCATGGTTGTTATTAGTGTAATGAACAGATTCATGTGTTGTGACTAATGCAAAGCTAGGAAGGCAAGAAACAGTTAATTTCCGTTGTGAATTATATGTTGTTCATGTGTCACTAACCTCAGGATGACTAGTAGTTGTATGCAAATCAGTGATTCGCAGATCAGTACATCCTGTCGTTCATCTCGACAACGGTGTTACTTTACTCAAAATAAAATAAAAAAAAGCGAAAGAAATGAGATTACCGAAGAGTCAGGATTGCTCACTTGCTTGTGACAGTGTCACTCCATTGAATCAACCAGGCGGCTAGAAGTTCAAAGTGCTTTTTAATGCCTTACTATTATTCACATCCCTTCACATATCCTGTCTAGGTCTGGTAAAACCTGGGGCTCAGTTCCTTTCTTCTCAAATACAAAGCAAGATAATACCTGATTGAAACGCTCATAGATTTGAAAGAGCTCTTTCAAATCTATGAGCGTTTCAAACTGTCAGGTAAAACAGCGATGTACAAAATGCGAAGTTGAATAATTTATACGAGAGATTCGGATTAAATCAGTTAAAAACTTCTCAGAACATTTATACATATTGAAAATTGAAGTGCAGGGATTGTTTACAGCCACCAAGTATCTGCGCCATGACCATCGTCTCAAAAAACAAAAAATTCAGTGTAACTCTTAATCTCGCATCTTTAATGCCAGGAAATTTCTATAGCACCTCCAACCTGACGCACCTCGTTGTTGGGCATGCATCAATCCCTTGATCATTCCTAATTTGTCTGATCAATCTGCAGGGCCTCCACCTATAAACAACATGCAGACAAACAATTCTCTTCACCACTTTGTGCTGGACTCAAACCACAATCGCTTGTAGCAGCTCGGTGGAACATACCTTGAAGATGAGAAATGTGTGACGAATTAGCTACATACTAGACACGAAATGTCTACTATCACAGCCCAAATGAAGAAAAAAAAAAAAGAAAGAAAGAAGGAAAGAGAAGCTTTTACAGATCCTCATATTGTTTTGTGAATCACTAAACAATGCGTTTCAAAATCCCAGACTGAGGCATGCTTCAAAATTACCTGTGTGTATTTAATCGCTTACATTCACCGTAAGATGCAACTACTTCCAGGCCACAGACGCTAAACTCGTCCAACATCGCCAGCGAAAATAGAGGGTTGAATGCTTTTCACAACACATACAAGTTTTGATGAGGCATTGCCCGGCATTATCAAAATCATTGAACTTCACAATGTTTAAATCTGGCACATCGGTCAGTACAGATTCACTATTGGAATACATGAGAACAATGGCAATAAGAGAGAGGTCTGTTTCCAAGAAACGAAATTCAGAACTGCAAGCTTCAACACTAGTCGAGTGTTTCCTCAGCTTTGTTTGAAGTTGGCGTATCTTCATCGCTTGATCTCGGGCTTGTCCCTGGCGAGGTTCAAACCTCCGTCCTTGCGATGAAGCGCATTCACAATCTAAAGACCTCCTCTGGCAGCAGCGTAACTGAGAAAAGTGGCGCTACGGAGGCTTGGGAGGTGAATTCCACCAACTGCACAACGGTAAACATAAATTTGGATAGGAGATAGTTTCATACGCAACAGTCCCACATGGATCGCACCTGTCTCACCATCGACTGTCGGTACAGTTGGGACGATCGCAGTTCTCTGGCCTAGTCTTCAGTGGAAGGTGAATGTAGTTGACAACACAGGTTAGGCATTGTCCTCTCAGGCGCTTTGTGGTTTTGGGGAGGCACCAACGGACCAACATAACGTTCATTAAGCTCGCACAACATTAATTATGCTCAACGTTCATCAAGCACGCACAAAACCACAAATTCACGTCGAATCCAGCCAATAATTATTAGCTATTCCACCACTAAGAGGAAATCGGCAAGGCTGGCTTCGCAACCTCGAAATCCGCTAGCACCAATCACCTCGTCTTCTCCCCCCCAAATCGATACAGATTCCGCAGTTTTCGATGTTCCGCAGTCGACATGGTTGCATCTTTGATTCGACCCACTATTGTTTCAAAGCATCGGAACTGTAACCGAGGTCGATCAATCCCTCAATCCTTCCGACGGACAGCTCCCGGAAATTGACATGTGCGTTGACAACGCAGAAAGTTCCTTGCACCTTCGAATGGCCACGTAGGCACAGCCACTTAGGGGGGATATGCGACATCTGGCAGGTCCTGTTGTCAAGGCCAGTTGCCAGCTCGAATGGTGGAGTAAATGAAGTACTACCTCCACAGATGTTTCTTTAGTTTGTAGTTTCAATTTAACATCATATTATTAATCGTTAGATTTTGTGATAAATGTGACATTGCATTATGAGTAGTCACTTGCTTGAAATAAATGCGATGTATGAAAACATGTACTTGTTGTTGTAGTTAATAATCAAAATTAACTAGTAAGTATAGGGAATCATATAATTAACATAGGCATTTGTAAAATTTATCTGTCCATCTTAACCATTATCAAAACACTATCTATTGTTGAATTTTATTGTTGAAAACTAATGAAAAAATGGTTGGGTTTGCAACCAATGATGATTGAAACAAGACTAGACTCTTTCTAAAGTCTAAAATTCTTCCAATCCATAGTAATATAAATTCCATCACAATATATGATAGAGCATAGCAAAACAAAACAAAACAAAACGGAACATGAAAGATAGAACAAAGAAAAAGAGAATAGAACAAAATAGAACTAGAAAAATGTAAACCAAACTTTATTGAGAGAAAGAGATCAAAGCCATACCTAACCAAATATCCAAATGGCATTGGCTAGTCCTATTTATACTTTGTCTAACCATCTTAGAACTTTCTAAAATGTTCTTAATGGTGGATTCCATCTAGATAACTATCCCTTCTAGAAGGTTATAGAGGTGGATTCTACCTAGGTAACCACCTTTCTAGAAGATTCTAAAAATGAATTCTATCTAAATAACCATCTAAGATTTTTTTAGAATATTCTATTGTGGATCCCATATAAATCACCAACCTAGTTCCAATCTTAAAAACTTCTCAAAAACGGCTCCAACTATCTATTTCTATGTGTTAATAATACAAATATCTTATCCATGTCTCGTTACAATTAATCTTCCTTAACTAATGTGGAATGTCCTCATTTTTCTCCCAATGATATCTCCAAATTGTTTCTTAACAATGAATAAGGTTTTATATAAGTTTTCATATTGCATCATAGATGAGATAACCTTTCTACAAGACTTTGTATTAAAGTTGTAAATGCCTATTGTCACAACAAAAATAGCAATGCTCTAAAATGCTGTCCACTTCATACTCTTTTTTGTCATCAATTACAACCAATGGTAGTGGTTAATGTTGGTCTAGGAATTACCTTGATTTAGTATGAAACTTCTGGAGTTGTGAAATAGGGAAGACCAGATGGACCCAAATATATAGGAGAAGCTTAAGGTGATATACAACATTAAAAATCACTATAGAAATAAATAAAGGTCCAAGCTATTGAGGATCCAACTTACAAACTTAGATTGATGTAGCAAGTGAAAAGTTGGCATTGGAGAATAATGCTTGGTCATCCTTCTAAAAGGTCTTACATTGTCGGTGGTTATCCATAAATTACTTTTTTCAATTTTGTATAATAAGGAGGCAGTACCATGCCTCTTGTAAGGTCATTGTAAGTTATTATATAAATTCTTCCATTGTTGAGTTGTTGGTATTGATAAGAAGATAAAGAGTTGTTGGCATAATTAAATATTGATTGGTGTCAATAAAGAATGGCGAATGACCAATATTTACTTGAATACTATGATTGTAAGCAAACTTCAAGGATGTCAAATATTCATTCTAATGATTATGGTGAATTGTCACAAATATTCATAGTATATCCTTGAAGGTCCAATTTGCACTCTCTTTTTGTCCATCTGTTTGAGGATGAAAGGCTATAGACTTGACAAAACATGTATCCAATAGCTTGAATGAGGCTTGTCAAACACTTCCCATAAAATACAGATCTTCATTTGAAATGATGACATGAAGTAATTTATAGTGACAATAGATAGTATTAAAGTAGATTCATACAAAAATTGGAGCATGAATATTGGAATACATTGCAACCAAGTAAAGTTTCTTTAAGAGTCAATCCATGAAGACAGTAATGGTGGTGTCATTGTGAAGCATTTGCAACAAACATATAATAAGATTGATGGTCACCTACTTCCAATATGCCGTAGGTAGTAGAATTAGCTATAATAGCCTAAGAGATGTTGGATTGCATACTTTGTTATATTGATATGACTCACAAGAGAATACAAAAGCTCAAACATGATGATCCAAACTTATCCAAAATTATCTCTTTCAGATCTATTTTAGAGTCTTTTTATGCCTTAGATGTCTAGATATTGGAATGTTGTGTCTTCCTTGAAGTATACACATTTAGAGTATAGCATCATCAAGTATATAAATTTACTTCTTAAAATAAAGCAAGCTATTATTGACATGATAATCTTAATATTACACATCTCCCACCTTCATCCGATTAGTAACTATCTTGAAATAAGCATCCCACACATAGCTTCCTTCTATTCTACTTTTTTGGTTAGGTTTGAAATGATAATATTAATGGTAATAATTTTTGCTTTGTCATCATATTTAGACTTCAAGTTTGGTCTCTACAATAAAGTGTCCGGTATAGTGTATTGTCACCCTTGCTTGTACTCAATCTGAATGTTATAGAATTGCAATTATTCTTCTCAACAATGATGTTGTGATTTCATATTTTCTAGATACAAATCATATAGTAGGACTCAATCGTCAATTCGAACAATAATTGACTTTTCTAACAAATAATATTGCTACATCTTTGTAGCATCATATACAATTGCTAGTTGCTCTCGATTATGTGCAGAATAATTGTGCTCTACTCTTTTGAACTTGTGTGATTCATATGCTATAAATTAAAGGCCTCTATAAAAGTCTTCTTGAAAGATTGCACTAATAGCAAAGTTAGAAGTATCAATGTCAAATATACAAGGAAGGTTGGAATTATACAATTGTAGTATTGGAGCAATAATGAATACCTCATTTAATTTATTGAAGACTCTTTTTGCTCTAGTTTCTATTCAAATGAATCACCTTTCTCCAATAGGCTTGTTGGTGAGGGAATAATGTGTGCGAATTGCCAAAAAAATGGCAATAATATCTAGCAAGGTGTAAAAATGAACGGGCTTCAAAAGCATCCTTGAAGGTCGGTCAATTCTCTATTGCTTTCATCTTATCCTATTCTATGTGCATGCCTTCAAAAAACACTACATGCTCCAAAAAAGTGAACTTCAATTTCTTAAGTCCATACTTTGATTGCTTACAATAGAAGCCACTATCTTGTAGCCGATACAATACTTCATGTAGATGTTGCTCATACTTCTTAAGGATTTTACTATTGATTATGATATCATCAATGAAAAAAAATACATACTTGCTCAAAGAATTCGAAAATAATCTATTTATGTAACTTATAAAGGAAGCAAGAGCATTCATGAGGCCAAAAGATAAAATAAGCCATTCAAAATGTCCATAACGCATATGGAATACCATCTTTTCTATATCTTCTTTTATAATAGGTATTCGCCAATAGCCATTCTAAAGATCCAATTTGCTAAAGTTGGTTGCACCTTAAAGTTTGTCAAGAAGATTTTCTATGCATGAAAGTGAATATGCATTCTTGATAGTTTGCTTATTAATGCCTTAATAGTCGATACAAAGCTAAAGTTCACTATCTTTTTTGGATGTAAAGAGTATAGATGCTCTCCATGGTGATGTGCTTTTCCAAATGAAGACTATTTCAAGAATTTATCGAATATTTTTTGTAGCTTTTCAAGTTCGTTTGGTATTAAACAATAAATTGATCAACTTGCCAGTTTGGACTCAAACAATAATTCTATTTGGAAGAAGATATCTTGATCAGGTGATACACCAGAAGATAAGTTGTTTGGAAAGATATTTTAATATTTACGTATGAATTGTTGTGCCCATTTTCTTCATTTGACTATCTTTTTCACTACTGAGGTAAGATTTGGAACCACCACATATACTGCTTCTTTATGCTGTATTTGCTTCTTTATAAAGGTCATCCCTATAAGTAAGCCTATAATTTTAGTTTGTTGTGCTACTTTATTCAATGTGAAGGTACAAAGAGTCACTTTGCATCCACTGTCTTTAAAAGAGATTGTCCTTGTTAGCCAATCAACTTGCTTATTTTCTACTTTTAGCTATGATATATCAAACATAATGTCATATCTAAGTTTTGTTATCCTGAATTTCTCTCTTAAGGCATATGTGTTACTCAACTTCAAAGTTTCTTCTTTACATGTCTCATTTAAAACATTCTCTTCATTATTTGTTAAGTATATATATCCTTCTTTCATCACCTTGGTTTTGATTTCAAGTCAGTCAATAATTCTAATCGAGATGCATTTTTTTTAGATTCGCAATCTACAAGTACTTAACATTGCTATCTTCTTAGTTGACGTGTTAGACACACCAATCGACTCTTCTGATGGTTGTTTAAGGCCATGTGGTTTGTCACTAAGAGACAATAGCTATTTCCAATATTGGCCTTCTATGCCTTTACTAGGGAGCTCCGTTTTACTACTCTACTTCTTTATTAACTTAGTGAGTCTCAAGAATGTGATCCCATCTTGATTTGTTGGTGCTTGAATTTTAATGTTTCAAACAATCTCTAATTTGATGGCTTGATTTCTGACAGTAGAAATATGATCCCTTCTATGCTAATATTTTTCATCTCTATGGTATTAGTGATCCTTGTATGGCATCAATTTCCATTAGCATTTGTTATTATGCCATAGGATTAGATAGCGACATAAGACTCCACGCCATAGGTTGTACTCTATAATTTCTGAAATCTATAGTATTAACCTTCTTTGCAATCCTAACTATCTCTTCAAATGTTTATAGATCCTTTAATTTTATCTCTTAATAGATAATAGGTTTCAATCCTTGTACAAACTGATCTATCATCTCTATCTC